CATTTAACACTCAACAGTGTTATATTTAACACTCAGAGGAGTGGACACATATAGACACTCTCTAGTGTTAATTTAACACTGGAGATTTTGCTGTAAGTCGCTCATGGTAATGTCCATAAACAATTTAGCAAATTGCAAAAAAATCAAAGATATTACTGAAAATGTCCTCTTACTGCCAATGTAAAAGCATCTATACAACTTTATATACAATATAGACAAAAATCACATGTGGATCTCTTGGACCACATGCAGAATCAGATTACATTTTTGGCTGTCCTTCCTCTGTGTCCATGCTAGTTCTGACCCACAATGCAACGGTTCTGCCTTCAGCTAAATTCTGGTCATGTGACCGTTACACTGTACCTCAAACAAACTTTACAGCAAGGTGTACCGCTCATTTACACAGCCTTTAAAAAATTATAATTGTATTTATTAATTATAACTATAAAATATTTTATAACAATATTTTATAATCACATATTTTAGACAATTTAAAAAAAAATCTCATTAAAATAATTTTTAATCAATTTCAGCAAATAAATTAAATACACACAAATCTATGACAGAAACATATAAAATAAACCCCTTTTTTAAAATGTCTCTGGCACACTTACAGGTCCCAGTCAACATTTAGCTTGATTCGTACTGGAGTGACAACTGGGGTGTTCAAAGCTTTCATTAACAAACTGTATGAATTCATTTGAATTACAGGTATAAAGGTATGTAGATGGCATTAGACTGAAGGGGAACAGTGACCTTTCTGGAGGGGCCTGGAACCCAAAGGCCCACAAATATCACTGCGAAGAACACAAAATGCATATAATACACCACCAACAACTTCTTCTGTATTCATGTATTTTTCCACTAGAGGGAGAAGCTGCACTGCTAAAGATCCATAAGTGCTGTGGAGGCACACAGATGGTTATTGTAGACATGAACTGTAGTTTCTGTGAGCGAAAGATGGGTTAAATTTTTCTCTCTTTAACGATCTGTGTTTTAGGTCCGTATCCCTACTTCACCATGATCTTTAAGGAGCTGAAGATGGAGGGATTCTTGCAAAGTAGGTGGGAGCACAAGCACCCTGAGACCCTCAAGAGACTGTTAGCATGGGTGAAAGAGGTTAGTGTGAGCCTTTC